AATGGTATGGACACCTGAGACGGATGAACGAAGAAAGGATACCACGAAAGGTTTGGAACTGGAGACCTACACAGAGAAATAAAAGGGGAAGGCCAAGAAAGAAATGGATATCCAATATTCATATAGAAATGGAAAATAGGGGTCTTCAAGAAGGAGACTGGGCCGATAAGAAATTATAGCGATTGGGATGCGAGAAGCGACAAAATTAAAGTTGCAAACACTCGCTATATATATATATATATATATATATATATATATATATATATATATATATATATATATATATATATATATACATACTCGTCTACTGTCTTAAGTGCAGTGTTGTTAATTATTATATCTTGGACTTCCATTAGCTCATTGTACATGGTTTCATTTTTTGTCGAGTTCTTGTAGTTTTGCAAGATTATTAGTAATCAGAACGATGTTATCTGCAAATCTTAGTTATCTAAAACATTTTCCATCAATGGATATTCCTTTATTTTGCTACTTCATTTTGCTAAATATATTTTCTAGAGTGGCAGTGAAGAGCTATGATGATATTGAGTCTCCTTGTCGGACGCCTCTGATTGTGGGAAATTGTGGAGAGATTTCATAAATTTTTACCTTAGCTTTTGCTTGTCTGTATATATTTGCTCAAGTTTCTATGTACATTTTGTCAATGCCTTTGTTGGTCAAAGCTTCTGTTACTGCCTTGGGATATATAAAAGCGAAAGCCTTCTTAAAATCTTTGTTTAAAGCTAGCGGTATTTCATATGCTTTAGCCCTGCTTATTTGTTTTTGAAACAAATGGATTTAATCCATGGTAGTTAGTCCACTTCCAAAGCCAGCTTGCTCTCTTGGCCAAGCAGCATCTAATCTATTTGTTAATCTGTTAATAATGATCTTGGTGAATATCTTTTATATTATTGGTAGTAGCCTTAAGGTCTGTAGTTTTTGATATCCCCTTTGCTACCTTTCTTATAAATGAGAATTATGCTTGCTGTATTCCAGTGGTTAGGTCAGAATAAATAACGATCTAGAAGTTATCATGAATATAAAAATGAGAAAACTTGAATACTTAGGCCACCTGATGAGAGGACAAAAGTACACATTCCTACAAAATATAATGCAAGGAAAAATCCATGGATACAGAAATCCAGGCCGTAGAAGAATGCCCTGAATGAAAAATTTAAGAGAGTGGTTTGGCTGTACCACTAACAAATTATTCAAAACAGCAGTAAATAAAATTAGAATCGCCCTAATGATATCCAATCTCCGGTAAGAGAGGCACTCAAAGAAGAAGAAGAAGAAGTGGTCAGGTATGCATTTTGATCTTATGCAGTTCGTAAATATGTCTGCTAAGATTTTTAGGTGTAAACCCATTTCTACAATTAACTATTGAAAAAAATGGAAGAAATTTTCTTAACATATCATCATCATTCAATCTTAGCTTGTTCACCCCTCTCATAATTTTTTACCTGTTTCGATCTTATGCCTTTTGCATCCAATTTCTATGACAACGTTTTAGCCATCATATTTTGGTCTCCATTTTAGTATCCGTTTTGTGTATCTATTATTAGTTATTCTAGCCACATGACCTGCCTACTTCCACTTCAGTGTCGCTATTCTATCTACAGCATCAGCCACTCCTGGTTTTCATTGTAGTTAATGGACTGGGATCTTGACTCGTATTTGAACGTCCAACACAGCACACTCCATGGCCTGTTACGCCACATGGATTTTGTTCACCGTTCTCGTTTTTATTGTCCATGTTTCCATTCGGTAAGTCAACAATGGCAAAATATACTGATTAAAGGTGGTTTTGTTAAGACATATTGGTATGTCGATTTAGAAATGTGGTTTAACTTGCCGGAACCTGCTTAAGTCAGTCTTATACGACGGAAAAGCTCAACGGTTTGGTTATCTTTTCGTAGGTATTTATCGGCGATTACCTGGTCTATGGATATTATTCCTATTCATATCTTTGCTGATTACAATCCACACAAAGCTACATTTCACTTCGAAATGTGACTTTATTATAAAATCCTGAAGATATCCTATACCGACCATATTACTAACCAAGACATTTTATTAAGAATAACTCAAAAATGAAAAGAGTTTTCATTTGAATAGCCAAAATTGAATACCTCGGTCACACCATGAGGAATAGCGAAAGATATGGATTGCTTCAATTAATTCTTCAAGGAAGAGTAAAAGGAAAACGAGAACTAGGCAGACGAAAAATTTCCTGGCTGAAAAATTTACGAATGTGGTTCAACAAAACGACCACAAATCTTTTCACAGTCGTAGTTATCAAATACAAATTGTCATGAAGGTCGCTAACATCTGAACGGATAGGCACTACAAGCAGAATAAGACTACAAGCTACACTACACAAACTACACTTCTTCTTCTTTAAGTGCCGTCTCCAATCGGAGGTTGGATGTCATCATTACTATTATTACTTTATCTACTGCTGCTCTAAAGAGTTCTGTAGAACTGCATTTAAACCAGTCCCTTAAATTCTTCAACCATCACACTCTCCTTCTTTCTATACTCCTTCCTCCTCTTATATTTCCCTGTATTATTAGCCTTAGCAGTTCATATCGCTGTCCCCTCGTTACGTGTCCCAGATATTGTAACTTTCTTTTTTCTATCGTGTTTATTATTTCGCATTCTTTGCCCATTCCTCGCAATACTTCCGTGTTAGTTTTCTCTTGTGTTCATGCTATTCTAAGCATTCTCCTGTAATTCCACATTTCAAAGGACTGTTACTTATTTATGTGTTTTTGCTTCAATGTCCAGCTTTCAAGTCCATATTGGAGTATCGAAAACACGTAGCATCTCAGTGCTCTTACTCTCAGTTTTAATCTATGATCTTTGTTGCAGAGAATTGTTTTCATTTTTACAAACGCATTTCTTGCTATTTCTATCCTAGCTCTTATTTCGGTTGTTTGATCATTATTGTCTGAAATCCAGGTTCCTAAGTATTTGTATTTATCAAACCTTTCTATAGGTACATTTCCCAAATGTATGTTTGTTGGTATATTTTTTTTCTTTGTTCTTATCATGTATTTGGTCTTTTTATATTCATTTTTAGTCCATATTGTTCACAGAAACTGTTTGGTTTGTTTAGCAGTATATATATATGTGTCATCTGCATATCTTAGGTTGTTAATAGATCTTCCGTTAATTAAACAAACTACACTACAAACAATTAAAAACGTTAGTTATTATTTAAATGCTACTGCGGCTTTTTATTTTAACTGCGGCGTGAACATACCCTTAAGAGCAACATTGAAAATTAAAATCCCTATTTTAACGTTACACACTCAGTATTTTGGAAACCAGCAGTATTTTTATAAGGCATCATCTTCTTTGGGTGCCGTCTTCTTAGCGAAGGTTGGCGATGACCTCTGTAAAGTGATCCCTATTTTGGGCTTTCCTTATTAAACTTTGAAAATATAATCCTGTCCAAGCTTTGATGTTGCGCAGCCAGGTCATTTGTCGTCTGAACAGGCCGCGTCTGCCTTCTATTTTCTCTTCTTTAATAAGCAGAGGGAAGTTATACCTGTCGTGTCTAAATATGTGTCCAAGATAAGACCTTTTACGCTTCTTGACAATTTTTGTGAGTTCACGTTCTCTATTCATACGCTTTAAAACTTCTTCATTTCTAAAGCGGTCGATCCATGGAATTTTCAGCATACGATGAAATACCCACATCTCTGAACGTTATAGCGAGCTGACTATTAACGTCCAAGCTTCCACGCCGTGTAATAGTACACTATATACATAACACTTTATCATGCGGTATCGTAGGGACAAATCAAGATTACGGGTAGTGAGTAACTGTCGCATCTTTAAGAAGGTGTTTCTTGCCTGTTCTGTTTCACATTTAACCTCTTGTTCTTGATCTAAGGTTTCATGTATCCAACAGCCTAGATACTTAAACTTTTTCATTTGTTCAACTAGATTGTTGTTGACTAGTATAGTTTGTAAGGCATATTGGGCAGAATCATCATATTTTGAGATAGATCATCTAAAACTTTGATGAGTTTGACTTCGATATTAAATGTTTACTAATAATATCCAATGTTTATCATTTTAACATAAAATGCCGCCAGATTTAGATTTCTCTTACTAGATTTCATTTTAATTTTAATATTTCAGATCTTTGCACGCAAATGCTAGCTGATCACATTTCTGAAAGATGCATTCATTATTCTCTTTTCTTTTTAACTGCCTAAAATTAAGTGCCTTATAGTTTATGTTCCATCATATATAGCTGCCATAGTTCTCACAGGTTTACTGCAAATTGTTTTCCAAGGGTGGCACACAGAAAAAGCAAAATTATTTTAGTCAAACACATTTTTGTTTGAAACGTAAGCGTTTTTGTTTCTACAAGAAACATTGTTTTCAAGAGAAACAAAATATTTGCACAAACTATTGTTATCAGTTTTATTAAAGATGTCGACAGATAACGACGAAATTGCACTAGTTTTCTGGCAGTGGTTTCTCCTACAGGACGAAAAAACGCAAAATAAAAGACAATTTTGGGTGAATTCTATAAATGAGAAGTGAACTGCTGAAAAAACTCTCCAGTCTTTGCGTTTCAAATTTTGATTGTGTTGATCTTTTAATTGATAGTTATATAAGGGGGTCTGGCCTCAATCAGTACAATAAATTTTTCTGCGTCCACTTCCATGATACATACAATATAAACAAGCAAAATATCGTTGTTTCCACATGTGCTTCTTGTTGACTACTCGAGCGGTTTCAAGAAGGGAATTCCAAAAACACGTTGCGCCTGCGTACATTGAAATGTTTAGACACAAAAAGACGATCCGGTATTCAACATCAAACAGACTGACTGAAACTAAATGAGCCTAAACATGCTTTATACGGGCTTTACACCAACAATAATTTCATGAAGAAATTCGTGAAGTCGCTTCAAGGTCAAATTTGACCTGTGTAAAGCACAATTTGACTTTCAATTTTGCCGTGAATAAATTCATGAATAACTTCGTGAAGAAATTGACAAAATAGAACATGTTCTATTTTTCTCATTTATTGGACGTGAATTCAGTATCACCAACCTACGTAGATTTGGCGCGAAGTAGGGATAATAATTAATTTGGTTTTGATTATTGAATCAAATTGAACTTTTGCATTTTTAAGTCATGTGTCAAGTAATAGTTATGGAAAAGAGGTAAGTTTATTATTCTATAATAAAAGACAAAAAATAATATTATATATTTTTTTTAGGAAAAACATAAAATTTCGAGGCAAAAATCTCTAGTTTTTATTAAAATATTGTTTACTTTTCCCTTTCATACATGTTTTTTTAAATATTATTTATTTAATGCTTTGAGAATATATAGTAAATATTTTTTAATAAAACATTATAAAATTCTACCTTTTTCTTCACTCCTATATTTTACTTGGTCTAGTAATTAGGTAAATTTTTTTATCATCTTGAAAGTTTAAAAATGGATTAATTAACGTTTTCCAAGAGATATGGATGCTATTGATTTCTGAAACAGGAAAGGATGGATTTCTTTGAAATGAATGAAAAGGATGAAAAGTATGGAGTGATATAGTACCTAGGCTGTCACATTCCGCTCATGATTCTCAAAAACAGCAACTTTCAAAAAAAAAGAATTTAGAGATTTTAAATTCTGATAATTTGGTGATACTCCCTGGATATATTTTCTTTTTGAACCAGGTATGGATAATATTGTATTATTGATACTATTTTTAAATTAACTTTGCGTTGAGTCCACTCATCTATTTTTTTTTGAACCAGGTATGAATAATTCTATATTATTGATTAGATTTTAAATTCACATTCAGACTGTCCACTAAGATATCCTGAAATTTTGTGCAATGAATTCCAGATATGTAACAGAATGTGTATGGAAGAAGAAAATTTCCAATTTTAGCTAATGAAAGTGGCTGTATAGTTGAAATGATTCAATTGAAAAATCGAAATGGAGACAATTTTGAAGATGAATTGCTAAATAAAGACGTTATAGAACTTCCTTAAGTTGAAGGTGTTTGAGAACCATATAAAATATTTTTGTGTTATGGGAAAACCTCGGAAGAATCATTAATATACATAGAACTTTTTTTATTTTTTATTAAATTTTTCTTTGTATAATTTAATTTTTAAACCTAATAAATCTATTTCTTTTCAATTCATGTCTTCGCCAATTCCATTTCTCTGACATGTTTCTGTTGTGCTCCTTTTCTACATGAAGCCGTTGGCCTGCTACTAATTTTGTTCTTTCTTATTCATTCTTCTTATTCTCATACTTTATTATTCATAGTTTTCTTCTTAAATTGACTATCTTCCTTTAAAAGTGCAGGATTATAAATCCTACGGATAAAATCTGTACAGATTTTATTTAGAAAAAAATCATAGTTGTTTATAAAAATATTAAAACTAACCTACCCTACTCTTCAATAAAGCAAATTGTAATATGTTAAACACAAATCATTAAAATTGTAAAGAATCAGCTCACAAACTAGTGGTAAAGTATTACTGGTTATTTCAATGTTTTATTTATTTTAAGTATTCATTTCTTTACAATATCGCTTTGTTAATTACTACTAAACTGGGAATAAGCCACAATTAAAGATAAAAATACGTTTATTGACGTTTCAATTTCCACTTCGGAAATCGTTCTCAAGATACAAACAGTAAATTAAACAAATTTTGTTTTTGTTACATAGTGAAAAATTCTTCTAATAATTTAATTTTATCTGACTCATTTATATTGACAATTCAGACATACATTATGCATTTTAAAGATATTCAACAATATTGACAATATCATTTTAAAGTCGTCTACTTTAAAATGCATAATCTATGTCTGAATTGTCAATATAAATGAGTCAGATAAAATTAAATTATTAGAAGAATTTTTCACTATGTAACAAAAAACAAAATTTGTTTAATTTACTGTTTGTATTTTGAGAACGATTTCCGAAGTGGAAATTAAAACGTGAATAAACGTATTTTTATCTTTAATTGTGGCTTATTCCCAGTTTAGTAGTAATTAATTTACAATGCCACAAGAAAATAGCTTCAGAACAATATCGCTTTGTGATTAGAATTGTACACATCTCAATATTCTAACAATAAACAGCTATTTATTTATATTAGGTAAATATCTCTTGAGAATATATTATGAATAGTGGTTAAAAGATTATAAAAAGTATTGTAGCTTTCTCTCGTCTTTACTTCCACTTGGTTGAGGCAGGTATTGTATTTAAATAAAGGCTTTCATCATTCTAAAAGTCACAATGAATTGATTAACATTTATACTAACTACAGTTAATTTTTAGTATGTAATGAATGCTAGATTTTCTTGTTTTTTCATATAAAATAATCAAATTACCACTTTTTCTGTTTCTTTAGCTATGTTGTTCTTATTAAAGTTATTTGAAATTATCTTCTATGTTTAAAATAAAAAGTTTTCACTAATTATAATGTAATTTCCACTTATTTTTACCTCTTGTTCAAGCTCTTACTCTTTACCAAATTCAGCATAATTTTTTGTACAATCTTAATCACTATTTTCTTTTTAAAACGATATTTTTTTTCTGATCTGATTATGTTTCCAAGTCCAAATATATATTTATTCAAATAAACAACAATAACATCCAATAATAAAACCATTGGTACTACTGAAATAATGACACTTGATGTAAAAATTTATTTGAAGTCAAAGAAACTTTTACGTTCAAGAAATTCACGAATTTATTGACACAGAAATTGATGAATAAATTCATGAATTTCTTCGCGAATTTATTGTTGGTGTAAAGCCCGTATTAGACACACGACTAATCAGTGTGCGTCAGCTCATTTCATTTATATGGAAACATCAGCATTTTAGTCAAAAACGTTTTTAACTAAAACAGTTTTGCTCTTTCTGTGTGCGGCCACCCTTACTTAATACCCTCCACAAAACGTCGAGACAAAATTCAAGCAAAGCAATAACGTCAAACTGCGTATCTATTTTATATTTTCAAAAATGCATTAAAGCTTAATTTATTGATCTGGTCAATGTTTACAATATTTTTTGAACTAACTACTAATTTTAATTTACATATAATTATATTGTCCTTAATGAGCGAACAGTTTTAGACTTGATAATATGTTAACGTCAGCAGCTTCTGTAGACATTAACGAAAAACAAAGATAGCCAAAGAGAACAGATAAATCCGTAATTCAGATATACGGCAAACAAAGTCTGAGGATCTCTTAAGTGTTTCTATTTTATGGATGCTTCTTTCGGTTTCACTCGGAAAAGTTTTAATAGAGTTTCCCAACTGTAAGCTATTGTACACCCTCTAATGCAATACATCGCAATGGACTCATGTTTGCCAGATTTCGTCTGAACTTTCTTTGTTTCACGGATATGTGGTGCTCGAACTCGTACCTATTTTCAGATAAAGAGGATTCGATTTTATCAAGCGAGTGTTTTGTTTATTGGGATCAATAGAAGATAATGCAAGAAATTTTATTTTCTGCAGTAAAGTTTGTAAATAAAATCTGAATCCAGCAAACATATTGGTTTTAGTTTGAATGTAAAAGATATGGAAAAATGTAATGATTTAAAGAAATAACTCCGTCACGATGAACTTTTTATTAATACCGCAGAGATCCGATTCTGGAGGTCTTTTCATATATCTTTTGCGTTTTAATTGTATAAATTGTGAAAACAATTATTATTATTGTAAAAATAAATGTTCAATTCTAGATTATGCCTCTATCTATTAGTACGATATATTTATTTTAATATTACATTTGTAAATATATCTGATCAGATCTTAAAAACTGTGTTGTTTCTTTATATCGACAGTCATTAATATCCAGTATTTGGTGGTATAGAGGCTTATTGCCTTTAATGAAGAAGACTTGCAACGACTTATTAACAGGGTAACCGAAGCATGTGATGAATATCGGCAAAAACTTAATACTTCAAAGACAAATCTTATGAAGGTCAGCAAAACGGAGTAACAACCAACAAACATCAAAGCATATGGAATAGAGTTAGAAAGAGTCCACAATATAACCTACTTGGATGCAAACTTTAACTATAACTGGGATATAAATAAAGAAATAAGAATACGCATTGAAAAAGCCAAAGCCGCCTTCTATAAATTAAAGAAAATTCTAATTAATAGAGATATTACGTTAGACCTTAAAATCAGATTAATACGCTGCGACATATTCTCCACATTGCTGTATGGTATGGAGAGCTGGACCCTTACAGAGACATTAATGAAAAAATTAAAGGCCTTTGAGATGTGGATTTATCGACGAGTACTGCGGATAAGTTGGGTTGATCGAATAAGAAATGAAATAGTTTTACATCGAATGAAAAAGACCACAGAAATAACAAAAACGATAAAAATTTGAAAGTTAGAATATTTCGGTCATGTAATGAGACATCCAGAGAGGTATAACTTTCTACAGCTCATAATACAGGGTAAGATCGGCGAAAGGAGAGGCCCAGGCCGACGAAGTAAAACCTGGCTCAGAGATCTCCGAGAATGGTATCAAGAAAGAATGGTTTTCAATCTTGTAAAATTCCTTTTCAAAAGATTGTGCCCTTTATGAGCAACCGTAATATTTTGTTTAGAAGATTTAATAGATTGAAAACAAAAACCCCTCTATTAAAAAGATCGCATGTTGTATATGAAATTCCCTGCTCGAGTTTATATTGGACAAACCAGTCAGCTACTTAACTCAAGAATACGTTCCCACAAATATGACAAAAAAACTCAACCACCCTCACAAAACATGAAAACAAAAAAAAAATAAATTTGATTTTGAGAAAACCAAGATCCTAAAAAGTGAACCCAACAGGAAGAAGAGAGAGCTTCTAGAGACTATACAAATAAAAAAAAATAATAACGCAATAAATGATAAAAAAGATGTCAAAAATTTGAACAAAATATATTTTAACCTAATTTAAAAACACATAAAAAGTCAATCTCAGAACGCCTATGATGTTAAAATAACTGATTGTTTAAACGATAAACTAACATCAATAAACAACACATTAGATTTAAAGTACATTTTACATGTAATGACTTAGTGGGTATGTCCTATGTTTTATTATTATTTTAATTGTGACGTCTACGTGTTAATACCGAATTTTTACAAGCTTGGTAAGTCAAAAGTTTAACTTTTAAACCGTATTATGTCTGTCATAGAATGTTTTTGTTTTAATCAATATTATTTCTTGAAAAAGGCATGGATTTCCTGCCAAAACGTCAGAAAAATATATAAAAATGTCTTAGTATCAAACTAATTTTTTTTATGAACCTAAGCCCAAGAGAATCCACTAAAAAATATATATTAAGGTTCAAGAACTAAACTCCAACTATATATATTGATAATGTTGTATTTTATTAATTTTATTTTTTATTTATAATAAATGTAATTTTTAAAATATGAGGCTCGTTGTTTAATTTAATATATACCTCAGCTAGCTTAATTATATATTCTAAGCAATCTGTCACTGTGTGACGTCGACTCTGTAGTCTCCTGGTAGAGTTCAAAAAGAAATTAAACCAAAATTTACTTTAGACTTTTGATAAATTAACCCAAATGAAGCACGTTATTTATTAATATTGAACAAATTTAATATAAACAATAAAATTCGTCTGCAACTTGGGTTGCCTTTAAAAATTTACAAAAATAGGAATCGTTTAAATCTTAACGTGGTTTAGTGACGTGACAATAAAAATGTATTACAAAATGTGGAGACTCTCTACAAGTACCTAAAAACTAAATAAATATTGCAACTTTATAAAGTGTTTAAATGAACTATAAAGAAAAAGAAAATGAACACTTTACTCCGCTGACTTGCACTCAAATATAATCAAAATTTCAAATGATCCCCAAAATTATTGTCCAACCTCACTTTAAAACAGTTCTGATTTCTTTAAAGGAAACTAACTACTCAAAAATAATCGGTGAAAAATGGAATATCAATCCTCTCTTCGGAACTTAAGGTACGTACTATTCTATTTTTAATTTAATGATCATTAATATTTTCAATTTTTAAGGCCTATCGCAATTATGTTAATTCATGAATTTTAATTTTCTCAATTTAAATGACATTTCTATCCTTCAATAATAATTATAAGTCAAATGGTTTCTCTTACTCACTGAAACAAATTCTGAGTATCTCTGCTGTGGAAAAACTATATTTTGATTAAACGATTTGAAAACACTCTCGGACTATCCACAGTTTTCGGGCTCCTCTCCAAAAATTGTCGTCGGCGTCTTCTCCAAAAAAACCAATTCTCTTATTATCCGTTGCTAACAGCAACCAACGTTCTTTTTTTCTGTCTTCTATTTAAATATTTTAAACCATAAAACTGTCCTGTTTCACATATTTGTCAAGCCACATTACTTTCTCATAATCACTTTAATCACATCTAATTTGGGAATTTATAAAAAAAATGTTTAGATATAAAACTTATTCTATTACAATACTAATTTATTCTTTTCATCTCCACATCATTGTAATTTCTTATTTAACAAAACCCCTATTAATTTAGCTCCCACAGACTGTCAAATAAACTGTCAAGCAGTTTATTTTCTGACGTTTATTAAAATTTCTATGTTTAAATATTTTTTTAAAATTCTTCTTTTTTGTTCTTTTTAAGGTTTAAACGATTCACCTATACACTAGGCAACTATACTATTCAGAAATTATTAACACTATACCAGGTAAGTCAAAATTAATTTATTTAACAATTTACTAATCTTTTTCTCTCTTTTATTTCAGAGCCGAACCCACATTGTGATGGCTTCATGAAATTCATAAACAACAAACTCATATAAAAATCCGTTAAAGTTGTATATATTTTAACATATTGAAATCATTTCAATATATATATATATATATATATATATATATATATATATATATATATATATGTATATATATAATCATATATGTCGGATAAGTATAAATAGAATATGACAATATTTTGAATATTATATCCATCGAGCAATAAGACAAAAGAGGGAATGTAAAGGTAGAAGGGGTAAACATATTGATAGACAGGAAGTGCCATCTTGAGAGGCCACTTTAGACAAGGATAGACAGTCTCTTTCCTTGTTTAAGAAGTCAAATTTAGTTTGGTTATGTTATTGTTTGTCCCAACTGTCACATGAAATTTTATTTATATTGAAGTTTTTTACCAATTATGTCACTTTTTAGACTATTATCGTTAATATTTAATTAAAACTTTCTAGTCTGAAAAATATTTTATAGCTATTGTTAACAAATGTTGGAAAATTTAAATTTAGCGCCTTTGCATTTCCGGATGTGTCCGCCATCAGAGGCAACTTTTTTGGTCTCCTTTTTATAACGATTAGATTCCCTCTTTTGTCTTATTGCTCGATGATTATATCACAATATTTACTTATTTCGTTTAAGGTTTCATTGCTCTTGTAAAACTTTAAATTTAACAGTACTCGTTTCGTTTGGAGCTACTTAAGACTTCGGCATTTTTATATTTTCTTGCAGATTCCAAAGTAACTTTTGAACCGTAAAGTTAAATGAAGACTAAATTTTCATATTTACTCGATTTTTTCATATCTACTTTGTTAGGAAGCGTCACAGACAGCAATCCTCATTAAAATCAAAAACTTTTTATCCAGCCGTTCTTTGAAACATCTGCTTTATGTTTCTTTTCGTCTTTTCTTTGGAAAGTTTCGGGGTGTTTCGACCGATGACGTAGAAAACGCGTACTTAAACTTAACAACAAAGAACAGGTGTTTTAATTATGTTCACGAGAGGGAGGAAAACGTTGTTTTATGGAATTTAGGGATCACGGTAATTACAGGAACAAGGATAATAAGGAAGATCTTGTTTAATGCCGGGAAATTATTTTCATTGTGTTTTTAGATAAAACAACACATTGTAATAACCCAATGTTATTTTGAAATGTAAAAGGGGTCTACTATTAATTACGAAAGGTTTTTTGCTACAGGCGTACACAATTTTTTGAACGATTGGGATTATAATAAAAAAACCTAATGAGACTTATACAAAAAATTACAAAATTCCAGCAGTAGCACGTGACAAACCTATTCTTCATACGTATGCGTATGGGATATGCAGGGTGTTTAATTAGGAATTATCGATATAGTAACTGGACAAATTTTGGCACAAAATACTAAGATTTAACCTAAAATACTTATATAAAATATTCCCCCTTACCAAGATACAGAGTGATTTTACTATTTAAATGGGAATAAGTTATAAATAAAAAATTGTGAAATATCCACAAAATATGTATAGGTATCTACCTAACAATATTATTACATTTCAACAATGATTCATCATCATCAGTGGTGCTACAGCCTTATGAAAGAGCCTCGACCTTTCCAAGTCTATTACGCCAATCAGTCCTATTCATTGCCAACCGTTGCCAGTTTGCTGCGCCTATCTTTCTACCATCTTCATCTACACCATCCTTCCATCTGAGTTTTGGCCTACCCCTTTTTCTACTTCCCACGGGTTGTGACATAAGGATTCTTCTAGGAGGGTTGTTCTGCTGTGATCTTGCTAGATGTCCTACCCATCTTAGTCTTTCTATTCTTATAAGAGATACTACGTCTTTACCAGCAAATATTTGTTTATATCTGTGGTATACCTCGTAGTTATATCTCCTCCTCCAAACACCATTTTCACTGATGCCACCAAATATTCCTCTCAGGATCCTTCATTCAAATATAAGCAGAAGGTCCTCGTCTGCCTTGGAGATGCTCCATGTCTCCGATCCAAATGTCAACACTGGCTGTATAAGGGTTTTGTATATGGTTATTTTTGTTTTTTGGCTTAAGTTTCTACTTCTCATATGTCTACTCAGTCCAAAATAGCATTTGTTTGCCATTATTATCCTTCGCTTGATTTCTTCCGTTATGGCGTTCTCTTTGGTGATCAGGGAGCCTAAGTATGTGAATTTGTCCACCACTTCAAAGGTAGAGTTATCAACCGTGCATTGGGGACCGATGTTCCTGACTCTATTGTTGGGTGTTGATGCCATCATCTTAGTTTGCTCCTCATTTACTTGCAGGCCTATAGATTTTGAGGCATTTGAGAAGGTGGTATACATGTCTTCTAGCTTGCGTGCTGTGCGGGCAACTAGGTCCACATCATCTGCATATGCCAAAATTTGGGATGATTTATTAAAAATATTTCCTCTGTTGTCTATTCAGTCATCTCTGATCGCCTTCATTAGTGCTATGTTGAAAAGGAAACACGCCAGCGCGTCTCCCTGTCGTAGCCCAACATGCGTTTCAAACGCCTGTGATTGTTCGCCCTGTATTTCTACTTTGCAAACCACATTACGTATTGTAGCCTTAACCAATCTTATCAGTTTATCAGG